ATGGAAAATAGCTTTGGGGTAGTTTCTCTGTCTGTCATCAAAACAGACTCGTCAGACTGCACGTCAGCTTATTCTGCTATTTAAAGCGTGGAGTGACTTGAAGAATTGCTACTGGTGGAGTGTTACTCAGCACAGACTCGTCAGACTGCACGTCAGCTTATTCTGCTATTTAAAGCGTGGAGTGACTTGAAGAATTGCTACTGGTGGAGTGTTACTCAGCACAGACTCGTCAGACTGCACGTCAGCTTATTCTGCTATTTAAAGCGTGGAGTGACTTGAAGAATTGCTACTGGTGGAGTGTTACTCAGCACAGACTCGTCAGACTGCACGTCAGCTTATTCTGCTATTTAAAGCGTGGAGTGACTTGAAGAATTGCTACTGGTGGAGTGTTACTCAGCACAGACTCGTCAGACTGCACGTCAGCTTATTCTGCTATTTAAAGCGTGGAGTGACTTGAAGAATTGCTACTGGTGGAGTGTTACTCAGCACAGACTCGTCAGACTGCACGTCAGCTTATTCTGCTATTTAAAGCGTGGAGTGACTTGAAGAATTGCTACTGGTGGAGTGTTACTCAGCACAGACTCGTCAGACTGCACGTCAGCTTATTCTGCTATTTAAAGCGTGGAGTGACTTGAAGAATTGCTACTGGTGGAGTGTTACTCAGCACAGACTCGTCAGACTGCACGTCAGCTTATTCTGCTATTTAAAGCGTGGAGTGACTTGAAGAATTGCTACTGGTGGAGTGTTACTCAGCACAGACTCGTCAGACTGCACGTCAGCTTATTCTGCTATTTAAAGCGTGGAGTGACTTGAAGAATTGCTACTGGTGGAGTGTTACTCAGCACAGACTCGTCAGACTGCACGTCAGCTTATTCTGCTATTTAAAGCGTGGAGTGACTTGAAGAATTGCTACTGGTGGAGTGTTACTCAGCACAGACTCGTCAGACTGCACGTCAGCTTATTCTGCTATTTAAAGCGTGGAGTGACTTGAAGAATTGCTACTGGTGGAGTGTTACTCAGCACAGACTCGTCAGACTGCACGTCAGCTTATTCTGCTATTTAAAGCGTGGAGTGACTTGAAGAATTGCTACTGGTGGAGTGTTACTCAGCACAGACTCGTCAGACTGCACGTCAGCTTATTCTGCTATTTAAAGCGTGGAGTGACTTGAAGAATTGCTACTGGTGGAGTGTTACTCAGCACAGACTCGTCAGACTGCACGTCAGCTTATTCTGCTATTTAAAGCGTGGAGTGACTTGAAGAATTGCTACTGGTGGAGTGTTACTCAGTCGGTCAAGTTTCTCCGACAATTTGCTAGCACTTTTTCATAATCTTTGCTGAATATAGCCCCGAATCTTGGCAATTACACTGTGAGCTTCTATGTGTCTCACTAAGTTTGTTAATTTTACTACACCACTCTCACTCAAGTGTAAAAAGTGTGAAAAATAACGTGCGAAAAAGTTTGGAAGAGTTAACTCTTTACACCCTGACATTAGTACTCATCTGCTCCTCACTTAGAATTTCCCAACTAGAGGAATTAAATGCATCGGGCAATGTGTTCCCCATATTCCCATAATTTTTTATTTCAGAAAATTGGAATTGCAAGCCTTCATTAAAGAGATAAATTTGTTTTTATCGGAAATTGTAATGACTTGGCAAAAGGATGTTGTGTTGTCCAATTCTGTTTGTGATCCAACTTGTAATTAACAGATGTGACTCCTGCGTCGGGGTTCATGTGCTTTTGTACAGTCACTCAGTGACATATGACTGTTCACCCAGTTGAACTTCGCTTAATCCTTTAACCATCAGATATAAAATACCCAATGCTAACTGATTACTTGTGACATAATTCTTCTGTATATTGATGAAACATTGCCTCTCTTTACAGGTGCCAGTAAGCGATGAAGCATGTGAACAGGAGTTGTCCTACAAAGACATTCAAATACGAGTTGGAGATTTTGTGTACCTTAAACCAAGGTGAATGACCTGCGTAATCTGAACTAAAAAATACGCTAAAGCAAAATTCCCTCACGTGTCTGTTTGTCAGCTTCCTGGTTTAAGCACCAACAGGACAGTTCACACGTCATGCTTGTAAATGAACGTAGTACGTGTTATAGAACGATTTGCGCGTTATTTGTGATGCGTAGAACTCAACACTAGGCGTTCATTTCCTCTTGGAAAAAAGTTAGCTGTTATGTTTTAATCATTAAAAACTTTCAACAGTTAGGTAGAGTCTTCGTTTTAGTGCGAAATAATGTCGCGAGACCCGCAACAGAATTGTTGAAATCAGTAGACACGGGGTAATTTGATGTTTCCCTTTCATTTTACCAGAGAGGAAGACCTTCAGCCACATATTGTATCTGTTGAAAAGCTTTACAGAGATAACAATGGAGAATTGGTGAGAATGTGTAGTAGCAGTAAATTTTATTTTGCCAATAATTACCAATAAGTCTTTTGAACCGCGCATTGAAGTTTAGTAGTGTCAAACTTTCTGAGTGTTTGTTTTTGTTCAGTTGTTTTTCTGAGTGTTCGTTTTTCTTTTTTTGATGGCGGCCTCTATATTCGAATTTGGTGCTATTTGCTGGTAATTTTTGTAAGGTTATGTCACTCTTTGAAATCTGAAACCGCGGTAAGCAGTAAAAATTTTATGGTTTGTGTAACCTACTCCTCCTCCAAACGTTCCTTTGGTGGGTGTTTCCCCTAGAGGAGTGCTAAAGTGATTCAATGTGCTAGAGTGTTTCAATGACACTTTGTACAAGCGGAAGAGAAAATGATCATTTTAGAAGGATCAGTACAAAATGTGCACGGAAAGAAAAGTAACAGACTTGAAAAGTCCATTGACGCTCATGAGAGGGTTGCCCGCGGAGGTGAGCGAGAAAGATCTTTAATCAATCCGCGTAGCCTTACCGTTTGTCCGCACCCAACAATTCCCTCGAGCAAAAGAAAAACAGCTGTATGTGTGCATCGACAATATATTTGAGCCATAGAGTTAAAAGTCAGGTCTTGCAGACGCAAGGCCTTCACGAACTCCTGATGGTCTTATTTCTCACCTTAATAGAAAACGAAATGAAGTCGTTATCATAGTTTGAAAATAAAATACTTTCTTCCCACAAGTGGTTGTATGGAAGCTGGTTTTATCGACCTGAGGAGACATTTCATACTGCTACGAGGAAATTCCTAGAAAAGGTAATTTACACCGTCCTTTGAATGTTACTCTATGGGTGCATGTTGTTCACCTTGCCACCTTTACAGCAGTTTTCCACTAAGTACTGGGAAAATGTACAGTGTTAGTGAATTAACGTCTTTATTCTATTAATCAAAAGTTAATAACTTGAACTTGGTTTGCTGCATGAGCACAAATGTTGCTCAGCGAATAATGGCGTAAACCTTCCACATTAGTGAGAGGAAGATTGTCTGCATGGCTACACTATTCGCAGAGTGCAATAGCAGAAATTTAAAACTGAAGTGCATGAGGTAAAAACTGTCTCTGATTTCACCAAAACCCTGAAGTGCAAACTTGTCCCTTGCAGGAAGTGTTTAAGAGTGATTACTATGAATGCTCAAACTTGAAGCAAGTCGTGGGAAAATGTTATGTTATGTTTGTTAAAGACTTCTTCAAGCAGAAGTCAGAGGTAAGGGGTTTTATTCAGTTTCACGATAATGTATCGCTCTTTGTACGGGAACTAACTTTACCCTCATATGAATTATCTTCCGTTGTATTCTCACCTGGGTAGTGAAATACTGTGAGGAAACAAACGTGATAAAGAAGTTTTTGTCTTTTCACGAGCCTGATTAATAGAAAGACCTCTACTGAAAAATTGTTGCGAATGCGAACTATGAGCCGGCAGCTGTCACTGCATTTTGACGCCCTGTTGTTGGTAAATTTCGGTATTCATTATTGTTTGGACTGGTGCATGTTGCTCCTCATGGGCTTTCTTGGAGACCAGCTGTTATGCTTTCTGTTTGTTGGTAAACATACTTTTTGAAATTTTGATTCTGCTCTCTCTACTGATATTGCTTTCATGAAATATTGTGCGAATATGTTTTTTTAATTCTACATGTACACCGGAGAGGGTCATGATTACTATTATGATCCTAAAATGGTCTGAAATAACTGAGTTCTAAATCTAACTTAGAGGTATTAACAAACTTTTATGTTCTTTCTTTCCTTTGTGGATCGCCCTCCTTGTTTTTGCAATAAACACTTTTGGCATTCACATAGCATTATTTGGCTGGCTCCATTGAGTGAGTAGGTCTCACTCAGTGTCGCATAAGTGTTGTATCTTATTTGAAAACAATTTGCAATTCTTGCTCTTTGGCAGCGGGAAAAATTATCTCTGATACTTCAATAAAATTTCTTCAATCTCTTTTGCAGAATTTCAAAGACGAAGATGTTTTTGTTTGTGAATCAAGATACAATGTCAAGGCAAAGTCGTTCAAAAAGATAAAGGTACATTTCCGTGGTAGAAAGAGGCTTTACTTTTTGTATTGAATTTCATAACATATATTATTGTGAAAGTCTGCAACTAAGCCCCTGGGTTTGCTTTCAAACATTTGTGGTACCGCTTTGTTATGCGTTAGTCGTCGTGTGGTAAGTAGCATTGTGTTTCTTCCGTTACCGACACACCTGGCCAAGTGATAGCTGGGTCAACTGTCGTTATAATCAGTCAACACATTCTGCAAAAACAATATGCACCTGATTTCCGGTTTATACACGTCACTTCCTCTGAAATCGTGATGACGTAGCTTGTCAATCGTTTGAGCATTGGCCGACAGCTCTATCGTATTTAATTTTGATCCTGTTATAGGTGTGGTCTGTACCTCCATCAAAAGTCCGTCATGTCGCAAGAGAAGAACCTCTCCACCCGAGACGTGTTCCATCGGTTTTTGTCAACAAAACAGGCAACACTGCTCAGCCAATGGAAATCGATTCAGGAGAAGCACCTGTCCATGATGCGAAAAAGGCAAGAAATTTAACCAATGCAATAAGTAATTTGTGTATAGATCGTCCATTTCAATGCTCATTTCAGCAGCATAACTCCCACCATACTCCATTACATGCAATGAAACAGACGTGCACACCAAATGTCTGACGTTTGTGATCCGCAGGAAAATGTAAAATAATCATATAAATGACGGACTGGTGCTTCAATTGTTGCAAAACTCGTTGATAAAGACCGATTAGTTCGTTTGAAAATATACTACGTAAAGGGAAAAACGGTAGAACTTAAAAAAAAAATTGTAGTTCTTGATGTGTTGAGCCATGATGCATTCTAGTACATACAGAACACTGAAAACCAAAATGTGATTACGCTTGTAAGTTAAAATGTGATTGATTTTACATTGTCTTTCCAGAATGTGGTTCTGGAGTCTCCTCAGAATGCGGAAGAAGGCTGCATACATTATGAACAGTTTTATGTGAGAGACACTCCCTACAAGCTTGGTAAGCAGTCAGCTTTCTTACTGCTAGGCTACCTTGCCTCGTTCATGTTTTGTCAATGTTTTATTTTTAGATTTGTGTAGGTGAGAAAAAGGATTAAACTGAAACTAAGACGTGAATAAGCATGGAAGGGACTGAATTATGAACTGACGTGTAGTATCTTTATTTCTGTTTACAGGTGACTGTGTCTATGTCAGGTCAGATGAAGGATTTCTGTGCATGTCCAGAATTGATAAGTTGTGGACAGACAGGAGGTAAGAAATAAAATGCATAAGGGAAAGATGTTGTTTTGGGTATTGTGGGTGAACAATTCGTTGGTGGTCGTTTCTCTTGGGTTTGAACTTTTTCGCTGAGTTGGATGTGATTATGTACTGATAGTAGGTCTGGCTTGTTCTTCAATTCTTTTTCTTTACTCTTAAACAAAGTTCAAAGTCTAATCCTTTGAACTCAAACTAGTCTGAATTCACGTCACGTCACGTCACAATATTAGCAATGTGAACAAAATACTAAAATTTGTGGTGTTATCAATCGCAACTGAAAACTTATAGCGCTGGTAATCAATTCCAAAAATGGATTGCAGAAACGTAACGAGACAGTTGACCAGTGTAATAAAAAACTATTCACAGAAGTGGAGGAAAATAATCGTGAGTGTTTACAATAACTTCTCAGTATGCCACCGGTGTTCGTGAACAAGGCACTGTATTTGATTGTTTCTTCTTAAAATTTGAGGTTAAAAAGATGAACAGACATAGTGTTAAACCAAATTCGTGACAATGGTTGTATTCTTCCTGTGGCCTTTTCGTTTACTGATAAAGTTTGCCCAGAGAAAACCGATGAAAAACGGGAAGCGAGTTTATTTCTCTTTAGCTGCTCGCAAGTGAACAGTACTTGGCTTACCGCGAGCTAACCACGAGCTCGCGTTAAAAGGACTATTCAATTGCAATTAAGGCGAAACCGGTTCAGCAGACGGAAATAAGAGGTCTTATAGGTGGCAGTAGAGCTTTTACTTGTGCATCATGTAGTAATAAAGATTATTAGTTTTATTACACAGCTGGCAGCGTCTGCGGGCATGATGAAGCCAATCCTGTGTTCGTAACTTTCAGAAAATGTCGGCAACGAAGTCGCAAAAAGCGGCAAAAGACAGTCATATCAAAACAAAGAAAATATTGAACAACCCTTTGGGTTTATTGTGCTACAAGCACAGTTCGCTTTCTTTCCCGGCTCTTAAAATAAACAATTCATTCTCGATTCTTATCAAAGCGAAATCTCTTTGCTATGTAATATATTCTATATCGGTGAAAGGGGTGGATATTTACCGAGCCGCGATGCCACTTTTCACTTCCACTTCGACTTTTGACTCTTTGGAACGCATGCTTGACTTAGATTTACAACACATCATGGGCGCAATTCCTACCAAATTCCTCAGAAACTGCTATGGTAAAAATCCTTATGAACGCACGGCCATGCATCCGTAATATGACGTGTACAGTTTTCACTTCAGCTGCAAGTTCCGTGGAGTTTAGCCACCTTCAGTCCTATTCTTACTTATAACTTTGTTTCTGTACCGTAGTGGACATGCTTGGTTTCATGGCCCTTGGTTTATCACACCTGCCAGTACTCAGCACCTACCTACCAGGATGTTTTATGAAAAGGAAGTGTTCCTCAGCTCTTTAGAAGAAACCTTGCCTATCGGCGCCATTGCAGGAAAATGTTGTGTATTGTCATTCAGGGAATATATCAGATGTAAGTGAGATCATACTACTTTTTCTTACCGGGACACTTCAATACGCTGTATTGTGTCAGTTAATCTAGAAACTAGTTTAAGAGCGAATGCCTGTTAAATGTGCTTACAGATTCTGTATTTTATACTCAAACGCTACATGTTGTCTTAAGAAAATAGTTTTTTCCGTCATATAAAAGAAATTTGTTGAATTTGATATCTAAGAAAGCTTTTACTTAAGCCTGGTTCTTTGTCATCCCAATGAACATTCCTTCTTCATAATGAAGACTTTGATTTGTTTATTTGTGTGGTCATGTCGGAATATTTTTCTGGTTTTTCACATTTTTTTTTTGGCCACAGGTCGGCCCACAGAAATACCAGAGAAAGATATTTACCTGAACGAAGCGAGATATGACGAAGAAGAAGGACAATTCAGAAAACTGAAAGGTCTCAAGGTACACCTACATTGTTAGTTCTGTATCCTGCATGAAAATTTTTAAGGGTTTTTTTCTGAACATTTGAAAGCCTGGTAAGCGTCGTGAAATACTGTTTATATCTTCAGTAGCGTCATTGAAATTTCAAGACAGCACTTTGCCGAGTTCAAGCGGCTAAGTTCAATTCGTTCCACTGCATCACATCGAAGAAAACCAGAAAGTGATTTTACACCCTACTTCTACCGTTTTTCCCGTAATTTTAGTGAATGAAATATTTACTGACTAAGCATTTCAAAATATTTATGTGAAAGTTAAAGGATATCATGGGCGAGTTTTCATGTTTCATTATCTCTTACACCGAAGCTTGTCACCTTACTGTTTTATTTTCTAGCGCTATACTTTGACAGTCAGTGTGCAAGAAGATGAATACTACTTCTTTGAAAAACCCATCAGCCCAGTGAAGGTTGGTGAATGTTTGTTAAGTGCTAAGACATAACTGTAGCCCTTGCATATATACAGACGTCATTCTACATACTGTTTCGAACTCTCTTCTTCCAAATGATCCTCAGACAGTTGTTGTTCAGTGCATTAAAACTGACTGAATGTGTGAATGATCTTTAACTAGTTAAATGGAATGGAATATGGAATGTGGTATATCGCTTGTGCAGGGTTATTCGAAGAGTTTTCATGTTGTTCGAGGGCGAAATACAACACCCTGAATAACTAAGTTGTGTTTGTGTGATTTTAGGTTCCTTCTCGTCTCCTGATTGAAGACCTGGATTTATTAGAAGAAGAGCGTAGTCAATCCCCTGCCTTGAATTTGACAGATTCAACAGGCGATGGAAGCAAGGTCAGAGCTCTGTTATTTGATGTTAACATTTATTTTCCATCCAAGGAGTGTCAGTGTATCACTGGCAAGTTGATGTCAAGAGCTACATGAAGAGTTCTATTATCGTCAAGGACTGAAGGAGTTATTTGAAGTATTCTTATTTCTGATAGGTCAATTTTTTTTTCTCTTCTAGAAGCCTAAAAAGCAGAGAGGTCAGTCAGGATACCTTCTATTTTCTCATGAAATGAGGGCAACAATTAGAAAGGAACACCCAGAGTATGCATTTGGCGAAATAAGTCGTATCATTGGAGTGGAGGTAAGAGCTGAATAACTCACTAATAAGCTATTTCAGTACATTTAAAAAAAATGGGGGGGTTGATTATTTTCTTGATAATAGGATAACTGTTATAACTGATAATAGGACAACTGTTAGAAAAGATGTTGTTAATCTTGGTTATGGAGATCAGTGAACGTTTACACTTTATTTTCTTGATAATAGGATAACTGTTATAACTGATAATAGGACAACTGTTAGAAAAGATGTTGTTAATCTTGGTTATGGAGATCAGTGAACGTTTACACTTTTGTCTCACGATGGAGAGTCGCGCTATCAAGTGTATTCATCGTGACGTTTTGATGACTACACTGCTAGTCTTTATCAGGCGACGAGGTTGAAAGTTTGCATGCATGGTTTTAGTGTGATGTAAAAATTTGATTAGAGTGAAATGGATGAACGGCTTGTCATGAATAGCCAAAGTTCTCTCAGTTTGCAGTTATGTATGTGCTAATGTCTTATCGTTATTGTTTTTCGATTAGTGGCGTAATATAAGTGCACAGAAGAAAGCTGACTATGAAGCAAGAGCTCAACTACAGCTTTCCCAAAGTGAATCTGAGGTGTGTTAATAAATGAAGACAATTCATTGTAATTACTCGAAAAGCCTTCAAAGTGAGGAATTTTTGTTATTTGAACTTATGTGCGTGTTACTCAGGTTAAGTGTGCCAGGTAATTTTTATTTCCTTTCTTTGTTTGTCTTTTTCAGTAAATTAAAAAAATGGTATGACGACTAATTTTGTAAGATAATTTAGTCTTTGGGTGCAGATATATTAATTTCTCATTCAAGACCCAAATCAGTAAAAATAACATTAGAGTTTAATGGAACGATTTAGGTTCAGTTGATGATGAGTGGAGATAAGAAAAATATTTTACCAGAATTGCCTATAAGAGCACAGATAACGCTCCTCGCGTCTACGTGTCACGCACTGAAAGAATCGTTTTAATTTGACGTCAACATTGTGGTAAAAAACGAATCGACAGTAGTTTAATGTGGTCTGTACTCTTATCGACAAAGGTGTTCGTCATCTCAGTAGTCAAAATTTTTTGTGAACTCAGTCGGCTGCGTCTCAAGAGTCCAAAACAGTTTGACCACCGTGGCGACAAATATCGTTGTTGATAAGAGTACAGACCACGCTAAACCACTGTCGGTTTGTTAACTTGTTCCACTGGGTCTGTTTGATTGTTTACCAACGCCCTGTTGTTTTATGTTTGATCAGAGTTCTGTTGACAGCGGACATGTTATTCCAACCGGACCTGTTTTGGTGTACGAGTGTTTATGGAAAGGTTGTGATTACCAATATGAGGATCTTCACGATATGAGGATACATCTGCTGGACAGCACATGCCATCTCCGCAAATCAGGTCAGCACTAACTACTTGCTTGTAAAGAAATAGGGTCAACCAAAATTTTGCATTCCACTTCCTATAGTTGGAGAGAAATTTGCACGATTCTCGTAATTGTTGACACTTTAAAAGAAAAGACAGAAGTTTAAGCTATAAATCACCTTATCCTTTGCACTTCAACCATTGGTTATGATAAAAGAGATTATGAATGCTTTTTAAAATTTCCTTTCGAAGGATAATATTTTGTTAAGTGAGTCGAAGCGGGTATTTAGAAAAACAATTAGCATTTGTCTTTAAAGATTCCCTTTTCATAGTGACAAGTTTGCAAATTTCGAACAGACTATAGCTTGAGAACTATTCCTTTAATACAGAGGATGGATTGTTTCATTGCCTGTGGACCACATGTACAAGGGCACGGCGTGGATTCAGGTACCTCTTCTTTCCATCATATAATGTGAACTATTTACTGACCAACAATGAATTCTATGACTCAGAATTAGCGACTTTTTACGTTTGATGAAGACATTTATTTTAAGTTTCACTCAGTTGTGACCAAACTGAGTTTGCCGTTACTTCTCAGACTTCAAAGTTACATTATTTGGTTTAGTGTGTAACTCCCTTTGCAACGCTACTTATCTTCAATGTTGTCTCTGATTTATTTGGTCATTGTTGTTAACTTGCAGACCATTTAATGCTAGTTCTAAGCTATTCAGGCATTGTTGGGAGGTGCATTTGACAGGTCAACCGAAGCAAATTTCTCAGCAGCAAAGAAGCAAGTGAGTTCTCACTCTGTTATATGAATGTTTTTCAGACACTGCTTTTAGTTACACTGGTGAATTTTCAAGTTACATACCAACTTGGGCTAAGAAGGTGTATAAGATCGTGTTCAAAATTTTTTACTCCCAGCCTTGGCTGCTGATATCATTACTTGGACAAAGCGATTGTTGTGGCGGCCGGTAGCAGAGTACATTCGATGGAAGGCTAGAAAATTTTTCAAATCGGGATGGTCATGTGATGAGCTTGTGGACAGTAATTATTTTATCTCTATAGGAACTATTTCCCGAAACATCAGGCAGCCTTGGTTACTTCCACTCCAGAACCTTCAACTGCTCAGCGCACGACTGCCGCCCCTGTGACTGCGCCTTCAGCCGGGGCTAATGCAGTCTCGGCTCACATGATGGCCACGATTCCAGGGGGAAATCAATTTTCACAGACAGCCAATCAAATGCAAGGAAATGCTTATGTAGGAGGAAGGATGACACCCCAAGCCATGCAGCAAGGTTTGTCAAAGTCCACTATTATTGCCAGTGCAGGCCAAATTGGGCTAAGCTTGGCCGTCATATCTCTTTAGTAAGCACGGTGACCCATCTTTTTATTGTCGTTCTCGAAACAGAGATTTGAGGTTTCCAAAGATCGACAATTCTCATTTGTAAGGAACCGCCTAAGGCAGCGAAAAGTTTCGAAGTGCCGCGGATATCGCACGTTCTTAGGAGCTGTTCGATGGCTGTAGACGTACCCCATATGGTACACAATGATGATTAAATCGTATGAATTGAGGCCCCTTGTTAATCAGTAATTTCAATGATTCATCTATTTTTAAATATAATTTCTTTTGAAGTAGCTGTTGTAAACGGAGACCTATGCAGTGAATGAATGAATAACTTTATTAACGTGTCAATCGTTCTAGTTTTTACAAGTAAAAACTAATTGGGGACACCTACTACGTAAACTAAACTAATAATTATAATAATAAGAAGAAGAAAAACTATATACAAACAATATAAAATTGATAGAATTAAGTTTTACATTACTCACAATTTTCACAATTATTTTTCGATGTAACATTTGATAAGTCAAGGACTCTGACTTGATTTTTAAATGCAGTTAGAGAGTCAGCCATTTTGATTGATTTGTGGAGCTTCGACCAAATATAAGGTCCCATGTACCTTAAGCTATGTCTTCCGTATGTAACCGTGTTGTATCTTGGTAAGGAGAAATCGTCTGCATTCCTAAGATTGTACCTACTTATGCCGCAACTAAAAAGTTCAGAAATATATGGTGGGACTAAATTAGTCTTAACTTTATATAAAATATAGCCATGTCCTGGATTCTATGATTACATAACGTTGGAAGCCTTGCTTTATCTAGAAGTGCTTCATAAGTGCTAGCCCTGTCACAGTAAATAGCCCTCATTGCACGCTCCTGCAGCCTTTCAAGCTTTCTCTCGTCTGACGAGCAACAATGGTGCCATACTATATGACAATATGTAACTTGGGGTAAAATAAAAGCTTTAAAAATTCTTAATTTAGCTTCAGTAGGCATTAAATTCCTAAACCTCATAAGTTCTACGACTTTCCTTGCCCCCTTAGTACAGACATTATTAATATGCTTAGTAAAGTTCAAATCATCATCAATTGCCACTCCTAAAAGATCAATCCCGGAACTTGATTTTATGTTATGTTATTATGTTATGTTAGTGTACTTTACTTATTGACCTATGTGGTTTTTCTTAATGTTAATGTTTCTTGCACAGCTTTCATTAAAGTGTTGGATATTTTTACAGCTCTTTATCAAGGAAATACAGGAGTGAGTGGTATGGCTTCAAATACCTCGCCGGTGTCAGGCATGATGCATATGAACATGGGTATGAGTGGCATTACACAGCAACCTGCACAACAATCTGCAGCGGCGGCAGGTAAGATTTCACCGCCTTTGCTGTATCATTCTTCTGTAGGTTTTTATGTACGGGTGAAAATCATCAATATAATCATCACTCCGGCGAAAGGTAAAATGTGAGAACACAAATGTTAATGGTTATTAGTTGGAAACTTTGAGCCTTTCTCTACGATTAGAACACCAACTATGTGTAACTTCTGATTTGTCCCTGTTCAGCTCAAATCGGAGGCTTCCCTCAGCAACATCAACAGCAACTCAAACAGCAGTTCAGTCCTGCTCCACAGCAACAGCAGTTCAATTTCCAACAGCAGGTGAACCAGATCAGCACAATGCAGCAGCAGCAGCAACCACAGCACTATCCTCAGCAGATACAACAGCAGCAACAGCAACAACAACACCAACAGCAACAGCAACAACCACCACCACAACAACAACAACAGCAGCAGCAGCAGCAGCAAGTGGCTCCACATGGAACAGCTATACCACCTCCTAAGGAAGCGGTAACGCAGTCAACTTCTTGTTGAATTATATTTGCTGTTGAGCGTGTCTTGAATTTTTTATCGTTATCTTTGCCTCATTTTTTACATTTATTTTTTTCCAATCTTTCAGCCCGCACCCATATTCCTCGCTCCACCACCCAAACCTCAAAGGCTACATCATTCCGATGCTTACCTGAGGTACATTGAAGGACTTCGTGATGGGATCCCTCATATGAGCAATTGGAACCAGGCTCGCAAACCTGACGCTTCCTCTATGACGCCTCAACAACTAGCTCAATTACCAATTCAGTGGCTGGGGTGCGGTTATGGCGACTATGAAAATGCTGTGGATGCTTTGTGGAATTTACGAGATCACATGCTCAGAGATGCGTTGACTCTATCCAGGGTCACAGAACAGTAGATACGTACACATAACTTATGTTAGAGTGTCCTTCGATCGGCACATGCTTAGGAGATAACTTCGTTTGTGTTATATCAAGTCGTGAACATGTTCGTTTGCACTGTTAGACAACAAGAGGTCGTTCCGTAAGGAACCACCGTTTTGTTTTTTTGTTGTTGTTGGTTTGTTCGTTTTCTTTCAGTGGAAGACTTTAAAGGTGTTTCGACTGACTCAGTATTTTTAATCATTTCGTTAAATGTTGTTATTCATAGAAGTGAGCTCAGTAAATATGGAATATATACCATGACCCGTTGTTTATCACTGCGGACGACCCTTCATTTGAATAAATTAACTTGTACCGCACCAAGACTGTTCAACGCGAATGGAACTTGTTTCGTACATATAACTGAACAGCTACTATCGTAATCATTCGAATATGTTAAGCAATTAACCACTATCACAAATGATGATATTGAAATTATTCGGCAATCTAGAAACACTTTTGTTTGACAAGAATGAACCCTGAGTCAAAATAGGTAAAACCCCGGTGTTCGATGTCGCTACGGGCTGTTATAATGGAGCTGAGGTTTGTACGTCGTGCTCTACGTGTTACACTAGCTATCCACTGCATACTTTGTCGGAAGTATTGCTTTGTACAGGTTACAGAACAGCAGTTTTAAAGAACATGAATGCAAGATCTGGTGACAAAACCAGAAGGGTCCTCTGCGGTGTTCTCTCCGACCTTCGCTTAAGAATCACGACAAAGGACAACTTAAAAATACTCAATTATTAGATATCACCATCAACTTGAAAAGCGCGAAATACTACACATTTAGAAAGCCCGATAACAATCCGTTGTACATCAAACGCTAATTCCAACCATTCCCCTCCATTATAAGACAAGTTCAACATCCATAAGCACAAGGATTTCAACCTTGCCTAAAACGAATTTTACAAATTCTACGCAGATGTCTTGTGTTGTAAAAGCGTATATGAAGTTGATTCCCTACCATAACACAGCTTCGGGAAAACATCCCTGCGGTTAGAGGGTGGCTGAGAGTTAAAAGAAACTTGAAATTTATGGGCTTCGTAAGGAAACTCATCGATGGTTTACTTCCGATCTGAGGGACAGATACCGACATATTAAGCTAGGAAATAAACAGTTAAATGCTGCTATCGGTTATATCAACTAAGTTGAAATTGTAAATTGGCCATCGTAAATAGTGAAAAGCTGACGTTTCGAGGGTTACCCCTTCGTCAGAGCGAAGGGCTAACACCCCACCACAGTTTCTTTAGAAACTTACCCAGTTTATTCAAATGCCGCTGTTGTTCCCCGTTGTATTCCCTTGGGATCAATTCTTGGGCCCTTGTTATTTATCGTCTTCATCACCGACTTACCGCTTCACGTTACTTGATGAAGAATTGTTTTTGGTATGCTGACGATACAGAAGACAGTTAAACATGCAGAGACAGTGAAGGTGACAGGAAGACTTAGGGTTGAAGATGCAGGGACAGTGCCAGTGATACTGACAGTGATAATGAAGGAGTCAGCGTAGTAACAGTGAGACTGACATGGACGGTGACTGTATCAGAGAAAAAGTGTAAGTGACACAAGTTAACAGTAATAATTACATAGACAGAGAGTGGCCGTAAAGGAAACAGAGACCCTGTCTGTCAGTGGGACAAATAGCGACAATGGCATCGATACTGACAGTGACCGTGAGTGACAGAGAAAGTGACAAGGGTAGAGTCAGTCAGAGCGACTGTCGCAATGAAATGACAGACGCTGATAGAAATAATGACAGTAGAAATCCAGTTTTTGAAAAAGGTTAAAAAATATAACTGAAACACCGGAAATGGTTTATTTCACCAAACACCGTCGATTTGAAATTACAAACATCGTACACCCTAAGGTTTGAGATCACCGCAACACCGCACGACGAGTTGTTCTTCACCGCATTAACGCATTAAAAAAGGGTTAGCACCGCAACATCTCAAACCCCAATGTCCCCCTCCAAAGCAATTCAACTTTTCTAGCCCATCAGAACTAAAACATTGTTTATTGCACATTATTAAACGAAAAGCAATTAAAAGGAGAAAGGAGGCTTTGGATGAAGACTGAGTTAGAAAGCGATTGCACTTTTTAATTTAGACATGCCATGTGACGAAGCCAAACAGCCACAAGTAAGATTTCTCTAATCTTGCGGAAACTGTCATCCTTTTTGCTTTTCGTCGTAGACAATTTTCATTGTGCAACCTTTGCTCAGTAAACACATCGACTATTTTTAAACTCCATTTTCCACCGGATATTTTTATCGTTCGCCACAGGAAAATATTTAAATTCAACTGCGTGTGTCGCCGCATTTTCCCATAGCACTGTATATGGGAAAATAATTGCTACTTTATCCCCAGGCCGCTACATGTGTTATGAGCGAGGGGTATGGAACCCAACGGTATTTCTCATGCTCCATCCCGATGGATGTTTAGAGTCAGAGTGTTGATTATGATATTTCTCAGCAATTACAAAGAGCGAAGTCACTATTAGTTCTCCGTCGGTTTGATGATGTGGTGGAGGTATGCATGGGAGTCTTCGAACTTGTCTCGAAGAAGAGCGGTGACCCTTACCCGTCCAAGGATTTATTCAGGTTCGAGCGTAACTAAATGGAAGACAAAATCAATTAATGCTATTAACTCTGCCGAGACTTGCACTGTGTATTAAAAATGAAAATCGTAACCGTGGTTGAGTTATCAAGGGTAAAATTTTATACCAATTTATGTTGACCCTCAAGGAAACAAAGTTTATTTAAAATAAGGGAGATATTGTCTCCTATAGGGGTGACACAGACCACTAGTGGCTCAGGGGTTTATAATGAAGATCGCTCAAGTAAATGAACTGGTAGGTAGCAAACCAGCTGGATATTAACAAACGCACTCAGCTGTTTAGACCACTCAGCCATCTGTTTCCAATTAAAGCCCAGTTTTAAGTTCATCCAGGGTAAAACTGTACTTTATGATGAAGCACGTATCAATTTTAAGTCAACAAGGAAAGAGGAGGGGCAAGGGAAATGACTTGGATTGAATGAAAATCTTAATTAAAATACAGATATTGTAGTACTAGTTTGATGACACTTTACAGGAACATTAAATAATATTGCTCACTTGAGTGTAGAATTTTGCTATTTTCCTCACATAGGAATTCAGATCAATGGACGCATTTAGCAGTTATTGGAATTCAAGCCTTTGCAGAAATAAACCAATGTCAAAAAGCTGTTACATTTGCTACTAAAGTGTTTGGACAGATAAGAAAGTTTCCTTCAGAGGCACTGGAATTGTGGCAAGTCTAATAGTTACTTAGTTTTTAATTTATCATGTATCTACATATGATCAAACCAGTAATAAGGGGTACCATATTAAGCAGTCACCCTGTATTAAGTGGTTTATTTCCCCTTAGTCACTCTTAGTTTTCACCTCTCTTAAGTGGTCATTTCTTTTAAGCGGGTGTGGTCACCCTAAGTCCCAATGACCTGTTTTTATTGTCCTCCATCTGTATTGAACAGTTACCAAGAGCGAGACCATTCAAATAAAACCAAGCATCATCTTTCATGGACAAGTAATTTTTAATCCATGTTTTTCTCCCAAATTGAAAGTAAATAGTATTTTCAAGGGAGATTCTGTACATTCTTAATTGGTCAATTATGGTATACAGAGGTTGTTTTTTACACTACCCCAATGTCTGGAACCTGTATTGAGTGGTCAATCTGTATTAAGGGGCCACTCTGCCTTTCTGTGTGGGCAAGGTTTGCCTTATCAGGCGAAAATAGGGAAAATTTACCACTTGTAAGAGCACTTATTACCGCCTGCAAATGCTCAGAAGTCTTTAAAAAAATACACATTAATGGTGAGCTAATCTGGTAAGAAAGTAGTAGAGCAAAAAATAAACAGTGTTAGGGGGCACACACCTTTAAATACAGCAAATGCTCCATGAATATATTCATGGTGAACTTGGAATTTTTTGTGAAAGATCATTGTTGGTAGGCAATGTTTTTAATCAATCCTATGAAATGTTGTTTATATTCGCAGAGACAAGTTTTTTTCTCTGAAAAGTTCTTTTTGCACCATTGCAATTAAGGTGGTGGAGTGTTCTCTGCTGTAAGTAAGTTTGGGATTAAAAAACCAAATATAGATGTGGCACTGAGGAGCTGGACATGTGTGAACAATTAAATTTAAGCACCACTCTCCAGTTCACAGGTCTTGAGCAAAGCCAAATAATAATACAATATATTATCATGTTGAAAGATGTTTTTTTTGTCTAGTCATGAGCATGGGACAAAGAAAAAATTGAGTCCCCATGAGGAATCAAACCTCAGACCTTTGAATTCTGTGCTCCATTGCTCTACCACTGAACCACAGAAACTCTATGGTGAGCAAGGCCCTTACAAAGTTCATATTTGACGTGTGTCCTGCATGCTGCGAGGATCGGCAATGTCGAAAGCATCGTGTTTTCTAAAGAACAGGAAAGGTGGTAAGTTTTTCTTTACCAAGCTCAAAACTTACCATCTTTCTTAATCTTTACAATACATTGTCATATTTTTAGCGATTAAAAAAAAAGAAACTGATACAGTTAAGCTATCCAGTTTGTTTAAAAACACAGAGAAAATTTCCCTATCATATAGAAAGTAAATTGAATTAAAGATTGTTTTGGCTTTGTCCTTGTATTCAAATGGTTGCCTAGCACATGTTTGATTTCTTTCTGGCTGGCTCATAATTCACTTTCTTCAGAACATACAACTGAAGTCCAGCATGGAACTGTTCCTGTGGACACTAAAAGTTACTCCGACTAAAAACTCACTATTATTTTTTTATGGAATTGCATTTGATGACTTTAATGTGTTGAGTTTTTTTCGAGCAAAGAGCAAAATCCATCTCACTGTGAAAGCAACTAGCTCTCCTGCATTCAGACAAAATTTTTCTCTGTTGTTGAACATATGACTTTGTTTGTGTAATTGCAAAGAAAGATCTTTATACCCCCAGGTGTTTGTTAGCAAAGGCATCCAAATGAAATTATAAAATATTATGATCAAATGCGTGAACATTTTCATTGCAGGTTATACTTCGATTAGAATTTGTATATCCCCGACATGAAAAACTATTTGAAAAAATCGTGAACATTTTCATCCCACCTCGCATGAACAGAAACAAGCCCTTTGTGATCATTTATGACACTTTCTGTTGAAAGGCAAGCTATCCTAAACATTTAATCTGTACAAGATTATGATTTTGCTTTAGAAAACTAATTTACCTGTTTTAATTAATGTGTCAAATCACAACTATCGTGGAAAGAAATAAATTATGTCCTCTTTGGCTACTGAAGCATGTCAGTTTCTGCTCTAGAATGCAGGAATGTGCATTTCTGTGACTTTCAAATATAAAAAATGTTCTGCTGGAGCATGCCCCCAGACTACCTAAGGGGGCAACACCCTTTGGGCCTTGTGTTAAGTATGCCTGGGTGCTAAATTCACATGCCCTTGTGCTCCAAACCCCTATGAAACCCCTTCAGTGCACTGTTATAGATCTATATGCACTGAAGTTAGCTCAGTCAAGGTGGTGCAAAAGTTCAAATTGTCACTTATCCTTTGCAGAAGAGTTTGACTAATGTTCGTGGATCGTGGGTACAAGTCGTGGGTTGTGGGTGTGGGTGTGGGTAAAAGTCGTGGGTGTGGTTAATACTTAATAATAAAAATAACCATTTAAAATATTAAATATAATAATACATAAATTTTATATTGACAGTGAGATAACAGATAAAAATAGATGTAAAGTAGGGTAAATTGAATAAACAAAATAAAATAACTAGAAGAAAGAACAGTTCAATTAATGAATGACAGGGTTGTATAAAATTTATGTATTATTTTATTTAATATTTTAAATGGTTATTTTTATTATTAAGTATTAACCACACCCACGACTCTTACCCACACCCACGACCCACGACTTGTACCCACGACCCACGACCATTAGTCAAACTCTTTGCAGAACGTCCAACATTAACCAAATGTTCTACCAGTGTGAAAAAGTCCTTTACCTGTTGTGCCGAAAGCTAGGGAGAACCCTGGTGGGTGACTGCTTAATATGGGTTCGGCCATAGAAACAATATTTAACAATTATTCTAGGAGCGCGCATTGGATATGAGATGATAGATAGCCAACGAGGCGCGTAGCGCCGAGTTGGCTATAATCATCTCATATCCAACAAGCGCGAGTGGAATAATTGTTTTATTTAAAAACACCCTCAAGAAATTATTATTTTGTAAGAAGAAACTGGATTTTTTAGCTCCCTTTTGATTTTAAGCTGATGCGTACACTTACCATATTTGTAGATTATGGTATATTGGCTGATATACCATAATGGCTAAGCCAATAAAAAGTCTTGAATTGCATTATCCAATGATCCAGTTTTTAATAATTAGTGATATCCTAAGAATATTTGTGAGAGGTGTCAATTCTCCCTGTTGAATTTTAGATTTTGCAACTTATCAGAAGCCTAACAAAAGTGGTTACTAATGTAAAAGATTGTGACTTCTCTCCAATTCTGAAGCTACTGATTCAGTGGATTCAGTTTTGGAGTATTTTGCCTAGTAGTAATATATGAAATTACTTGTTATTTTGGTTTTTTTTTTTTGTTTTGTTTTGTTTTTTTCTGTTTTTTTGTTTATTTTTCAGCCTGGGGCTCAATACTTTGATTCTTAAGAATTAAATTTTTTATACTTGGCAGTGTTTGTCTTCTTCTGAAAGCATCAAAGTATAAGGAGGCTGGGAAACTTGTTGAGGATTGGCTTACTTTTGAGGAGAACTTCTCTCACGTCAAATACATAAAAATAGCAGAATTCTATGTCAAACATATTCTATTCCCCCAACAATTATATGAGGAGATAAAACAATTTCTGGAGACTAATCAAGTCATTCCTTCTGCTGAAAAAGAGGTTAGAAACATTAATTTCACATTTTGGGGAGCAGGGATGGTACAGTACGTGAAGAGCACTTGCCTCCCACCATTATGATCAAGGTTGTATTCCCAGACCTGGTGTCACACATGAGTTGAGTTGGTTTCCCACCCTTGCTTTGAGGGTTTTTTCTCTGGGTCTTCTGGTTTTCCTTCCTCCACAAAAAAAACAACCTCCAAATTCCAATTTGACTTGGAAACAGTGGACAAATAGAGCCACCTCATGGAATGTCTACTGCTAATCAATGCCATTATTATTGTTTACTATTACAGTACTACATTATGGATTAACACCTTTAAGCAAGACACTCTTAATCAAAGTGCCTTCATTTGATTCTAAAAACAGACAAAGCTCAAACTAAGACAATAAAATATTTCTTGAAACTGTGGCTCCTGTCACTGTTAATAGTTGAAAAAGAAAAGGGTGTGATTTTTTATGTTAACCAAATATTTAAATGCATACAAAGGGTACTTAAAACTATGAACTACATGACTTGGGCAGTTTCCAGGTTTTCAGCTGTGATAGTCAAATACAAAAAACCTATTGACAACTTTTTCAGCCTATGGCCAGGTTCCTTAAAAGGGAATATGGAATATTTATTGTGGAATGGTCCTGGCTTTGACTTTGTCAATTACATTTTATGCTTTTCCCCTTAACAAAGAGCATGACGGGTACACTGTAACTCAGTTGTTGCTAGTGCACCTAGAAACACTTATTTTGCACAAAGTTCATCATTTTCTTGATCAGCCCTGTTGCACTCTTGTTTCACATACAATTCTGTAACAATCATGGCTTATGAGATCCTTCATAATGTACATGTATGTAATTGTACATTTCTCTTTCAGGTGTTGTTTCAGTTCACAAAACCTCTTGTCGATGAGAAGGTATTTGCCACTTACTTCATGATAAAATATTATTATTATTATTATTATTATTCAAATATTAAGTATAATATCTCTTTGAAAAGTGCTGTAGGTTCACCCCCTCCCCCCCCCTGAGAAAAGCAACCTTTCATTTTAAGAGTGAAGCTACACTTTCCATTTTCTCTGAGTGTATTGTTACTTAGGATGCAGTTGAGATATAGATATCTCATAGAATGTACATCAGATGTAATTTGAGCTGTAAGCTGTTCCTTCATATTGCATTCTGAAGGTCTCCTCTATTTGCTTTTCCATGCAAATGTAATTATCTCTGCCTGAAATTCATATGAAGCTTTGAAGTCTGATAGCTTTCCTTTGGGTCTGTCATTTTCATGGGAAGTTAGGTTGAAAGGTGCAACATATCACATGAGGTAACAGCCACTACACAACTTCCATCTAGACATGGTGAGATACACTCAATGACTTACTTAATGTATGAATTCAAAGAATCTTCTACTTGTGCAACCTCAGTAACAGCCCACATAACTTTTTTGTTCCCCAGTAAGTGTTATTTTTTCAGGCTTCAAAGCCAATGTATGATGTAACGAAATTAACAGAGGGGTGTGGGCCAAATAGAACCATCCAATGTACTGAAATATTGGTGGATATTACCAGTTGCTCAAAAATTGTGTCTAACTTGTCATAGTTGCCTCGAGAACTATACTTCTTGGCCAACTGTACATTTTTGGAACAATATTTCAGCCTCAAGCCATAATTATAGTCCAATTTATCAGCTACTGGAAGGAGTTTATATTATAGATATCTCTGTCATAGAATGTACATCAGATGTATTTTTGAGTCAAAAGAGCTGTCACTGTAATAAAAAGATGGTAAACATGGTACTTGAGCAATTGATTTTCATGCAGATCTTATATATAGCATCTGAGAGTGCTTTAACCCTTAACTCCCTAAAGTGATGAACATGTAACTTCTCCCTATAATATCCATACACTATCCAACATACAGATAATGAGAATACTTTAAACTTATCAGATAGATGTTGTAATGTTGATCTTACACCAAATACTTGTAACTAATTTACAAGGAAATGTGTAACAGCTAGAGGGGAGAATTAACAATTTGATCTTGGGAGTCAAAGGTTAAAAGCATTGCATTCATCGCCATGGAATAAAAGGTGGAGACCTAATGTCATTGGGATTAATTCTATTTTATTGCTTATTTTGATAGGTGCTGCTCAAAGATGGCTGAGAATGTCAGTAGTCATACAAAAGCTCCAGAGCCTATACCGGATGGTCTTCTTCCATCATAAAACAAGGATTTTTGTTAGAATGATGATTCTCTTGTTTTTCATTTACTGCTTTGTCTCAGCAAGTAGTTACCAAGGTAACTTTACAACAGAAAGGTGTCTTTTTATAACTGTTTTGGCCTAGTATGTGGAATACTAACCCTGTGTAAGAATTCTTTTTAAATTTTAATTTTTCCTCAGTGTTGTTTAAAGGTTTAATTGTTAAAGATTGTCAACATCTTAGAGTAGAGTAGAGTTTATTGGGAAACAACATTGCAACCAAGAAGCTGAATTACATTAAATAAAATCTACTTCTAAAAAAGAAATGTGTATATATATGCAAATTATAACTAATACATACATACACATATAAGTTATAATTTATTCAAGTATTGTTTTCTTGAAGAAAACGTAAACAAAATATTTGTTAGCCATAGCCCATTGCAGAAACGTGAGAGGACTGGGGCGAGTTTCTTATGTTGATTACATTGAAAATCTAAACATTTCAACTGAAGTGTTACTGAATGAAAAGCTACCCAGCCAAGTTTGAGAGTTTTAAGCGGAAAAGTGTCTAAATTGGAGCCTTGCAAAAGTTGCAAAAATTCCTTACAAACCCTTAAAATTTTTTGCCCTGTCTGCCCAATCCATACAAACTCTATTTTAGGTGATATTTGAAAAGCTGTCATTTTGCCATTTTCCTCCTCTAAATACTTCTATTCTTGCTTAAGACTCTCAAATTTAGTTGATCTCTCATTTGAATATCTTAGATTTTCAAACAAACAGAAAACAAGCACACTCTTTCCCAGTCCTCTCATGTTTCTGCAATGGCCTATTATAGAACTAGACTCTTCTTGCTTGCTTTAAAATTTGTTTTATTTTGGTCTTTTTCCTTGAGAGTGTCATTCTCGGAAAGAATGCTGTAGATTACTTGATTGCACTGTGAAATCTTACTCTCAATTCTTTTATTAAATTTTGTTTTTCTTTCCACAGGAGTGAACAAAGGTTCAGGAATATTCAGTCTGTGGCTTGCTTTGTTGAATGCATGGAGAGCATTATATGCTTAACGATAAAACCCAACACTGATCAACACTAGCAGAACTCAGGCTGAAAAGTACACAAAATTATGGAAAAAAGATGTGACTCTAAGAATGGAGGAAAAAAGTAAAAACTGGAGCACAAACTGACCAAATTGAAATGCCCAAGCCACATATGCTTCTCACAAAAATATCTCTTTAAATAAATTGATAAAAAGAAAGGTGAAATGTGGTACCAAAGACAATCCATCGATGGGGAATTGCTTTCAGTGAGAAGTATCAAACAATTTTTAATTCAAGACGTGTGAGAAATTTCAAAGAGGAAAACTATGTCTTTGTTACTACCAGAACAAGAGCCAAAGTGACTGCAAGCTTGAGCAGAATGTGTGAGGTGTAAATGCACAAGAAAAGCAATTTTTTAATATTGCTAGTAGTTAAACAATCAGTGACATTAAAAAGATACGGGTATAGAAGAGTTCAACGTCTCTTATTTGAGATAAAATGAACCTGCTATTTCCTAACATCACCATATGCATATTCCTCATACTGTTCTTCATTTGATTCTATGTAAATGGAATTTGCGCACTACAAATATTAAACTATCATCATTATTATTATTATAATTATTATTATTATTATTATTATTATTATTATTATTATTCATGCAATTCAGGAGGTGCCGATGGGAAGAATTTGTTTGACAATCAAGAGCTCAGTTCTTTTGGTGATAATCATTTCCTTTATGTTCGTGACCTTGATGTTTGATTCAGGAGTGATGTTTGATTCAGGAGTGATGTTGTTGGGAGATACTAGAGGGCGACTAAATGATAGTCAGTGTAAGCTTAGAAACTCTTTACGGTCGCCAATTTACATCTTCAACTCAGTTGATAAAACCAAATCATCTATGTGAATACAGAGTTTGACTAGTCGGTAGAACGGGGAATTGAAAACAGTGTCCGGAAGTAGAGCTGTCCGCTTGCGAGAAGTTCCTTTGCAGGAGAGTTGATTGTCTTCATAAGTAGAAGGGGTTTTAGTGCACTAAGAGAGGGTGTAACTATTTAAGCTCCTAATCGTTTGTATGTATTTTCAGTCTGATGATGGGATAGTTTATACCGAAATATAACTGTCACTTAACATCTTGGTTTTCTGTTCATTTGTTGTCAAATTTAAAGACGCGATGAATTTACTCGGTCTATCGTTCATCTTTTATGTTCTCAAATTATCATCTGGTTCTGGCCTTTTAAAGGGTGTAATGATATAGATTCCACCAAATTTTCATTTTGCGAGTTATCGCCCAATGTTCGAAGAGCTTGTGACTCAAGCAACGACATGGAATGAATGATGACATACTGGATATTCAGAAATAGTGTTACATTTATTTACTGTTGATTCAAAAACATAGATCGCAAGATATGTTCATCTCTTCCAAGAGTCGCCAATAAATTTGAATAGAGCTGATTAAAAGATTAAAGAAAGTTTACCCTTTGGCTTTGTATTGTAATGCTCTATTTATTCGTAATTTTGGAGATAATCATGAGCGTTTAAATCTTATTTATAGTATCGAGTTTTAGGGTTCATATGAAAGAAAACAAAACTCAGACAAAAGAACGAAGTGAATTAAACGTTACAAATCATTTTCGCACTGGTGAGAAAGTAACATGTATATAGAGATCTCAAAACATTCGTAGAATCACATTTTTGGGTTCATGCATTAATAGACAAACAAAAAAAGCTCTGAAAAACGAAGAAATGATACAGTAGTTTCGTAAACGTTTCAAAACATCATCTGGTGAGAAGGTAACACGAATATAGAAATCTCAAAACTTGCTTGCGGTATTACATTCTAGGGTTTTTGTATTAAGAAATAAATGAATTTAAAAATCTCTGGGAAAAACGAAATGATAATGGTTGAGTAAGCGTTGAAAAGAATGTATACTCTTGTGAGAAAATAACATTTACAATAGATATCCTTCATAAAACGTTGAAAAAAGAATTTAAAAGTTTTCCAATGATCCAGAATTGTAAGTCGAACCAGGCCTAAAAAGAAAGAAGGGAATACACTTTTAATCATTCCTCACCCATCGCAGACCTTTACTGTCGTTGGTGTTATTAGAAATTGGCGCTTGCTAACCTTTCACTCCCATAAGTGACCAAGACAATTTCTCCTTACTACATCAATACAATATCAAGCAGACAAGTGATGAGAATAAAGTAAAATATTGATCAGAAGATTATTAGTTGATCTAATACCAAATTCTTCAGAGTGACATCGTAAGAATTGTATGGCAGACAGTAAAGAGAATTGCTCATGAGATCCAATACAGTACAATACAATACAAAGACTTTATTTAAACACGATAATTGTTAAAGCGACTACACGCTTGTGGGGTCGTGCGTAAAATGGAATGAAATGAAATGTAGTAAAATAAAATAATTAAAGTAGCCTATCAAAATTAGAAGATCTAAAAATATTTAAAATTGGATCCTTAAAGTTCACTGTCTGAGGAGAAATAGAATTAAAGTTCAAATTTAAAAGTGCCTTTGATTTGTAGGCTAACGAGGAGAGCTGCTTAATGGTTATATTGTAAGGAGAAATACTGTCTTGGTCACTCATGGGAGTTAAATGATTAACAGCATTTATCAGTGTGCTGATCGGGACAGGACTTACCTGACATTTACCCTTAACACAGACATCGAATGATGTCAGATCGTCATTACATTTGGTTCCGTTTTCAACGTCCACTGGTACGATATCAACCCTTTTGCCGTCCTTAGTTGCCTCACAGAACTGCCGACAGGGATTTAGGTCGAGTCCTATCGAAAAAACAAGAGTGATCTTAATTTAA